AACTCGTGACTGATCCCTCGCCCTCCACTCCACGTGTTAGCTGAAGAGGTGAGCTGGGCATACTGAAAGAATGATGTAAACTGGCATCCTTCCCTGCACCCTATTCTCTCACTACAGGAGACAAATAACTTCCATTATCTACAGTGGGGAGTTACTTGGATCCTACAGGGGGGAGACAGCCTAAAGCTAAGTAGATATTCAGTGTATGATCTGCTACAATGGAACTATACCATTTTACACAAATATCTGGCCCCAATCTCCTTGGGAGTCAGAAGATGGATAGTTCAATGGTTAAGAAGCACTGGCCTGGAGATAGCTGGGTTCAGTTCCTCGGACCTGGAGCAAGCCACTCAGTCTCTCTCTGCCTCAGTTCTCCATCTGTAAAATGGTGAGTATAGCACGTCCCTACCTCCCCTTCTGTAGCGAGGACAAAATTCATTAAAGATTGTGAGGTGCTCAGATACTACAGTAACGGGGGTCACGTAAGTACTGAACACAGACAGACAGAGCCTGCACACCAAGATTATTTCTTTGGCTTGTATAAAATTGATCCCTGAGGGCTATAAGCATGGATAACTTACGAACTCTCCACACTCACGTTACATGAAAAGAAAATCAGACCGTCTGCTTTTCTCTTGGTAATTTACCTGAACTCAGTATTCATCTGCAACACATGCTACTTACATACTGTAGTGGGGACGATGCCTTTTCTATTGTCATGTACATACATAAAAGCAAAGAGTGTGGGCAGGAGAAACAAGCTCCCAACTTTAGTTCAGCTAGGAGAAAACCTTTGATTCACTGTTATGGCCTCCCTGAATGCAAGCACAGTGGTAGCATTGCCATGAGAAGATACAGCTGTGTGGGTATTGGTCCTGCATTTTTTATATATTATTTTTATGCACATACATGTACACACCTGCAAGAGTGAGAGAACTAACCTAAAAGGTAATCTGTATTTTTGAACTATTGTCCCCCACCCCCATCAATATTTACGTTTGCATGATGGCATTGCATCTATCTAAATCAAATCTTTGCAAATGCGGTAGGGCCCTAAGGCTCCAAAGTAACCCGTGTGGAACAAAAACGTGTGACCACACTGGCACATGCTATGTAAGTAGCAAATATTTTACATAACGCTGAGATCAGGCGTTGATATGATAAAATGTAAAAACTGCCTTTTTCATAGATTGTACTCCACACACGTAGGTAACCTACATACAAATATGTCATGGTTTAAATCTAAATGAAACATGTCCTTTCCACATGGGAAATCTCCCCCAAAAGAGGAAAGGTAAGAAACAGAACATAAAGGGAAACACTGCCACAGTATGGCTCTCTCTTGGTGATAGGTTTCCCCAGGATTGACAGAAAATCAGTTATTGCCACTCATGAAGTGTTGCAGTTGTTTTTGCTTTTGTCGAACTGACTACAGAGATATCCTATCTCCTCCTGTGGTCCTGACAGAAGCAAAAAAATCAGGGCAAATCATGGGATTTATTTATCTATTTGTAACCAAGTCAGATGAATCTAACAACAGATATTAACCAAAGGGTAAAACATAAAACTTCACAAAAGCAGCATCCTTTCCTCACAAAAGGTTTAATCCTGCTTGTTTTACTGACATGAGTAATCTCAGTGAAATCAATGTATCTACTTGCCTAAGACCAGCAAACAGGATCTTTGTTAAAAGAAAGATTTGTTCTGTATTTTAGAGAATATTATTAAAGTGACCCGAGTCAGCCATCTCACAGTAGGAGATGGGATGGGACCAAAATCTCAGCTCCAAACTTTGGGGAAGTTTGAAACCAGCTCCTAACCTTACAAACCAGTGCCCACCCTAATCAGAATATTATTGGCACGTTAAAGGTAGTCCAGTAGAGCTGGTTGGAGAAACTTCAATGGAATCGTATTTCATCAGAATATGCAGTTTTACTGAAATTGAAATACTTTGTGAAATTGTGTCAATTTTTCTGGAATTTCATTTCAGAAGAAAACCGTGAAAAACAGTTCAACATTTTCTGCCTGGTTCAACATTTTCCTATTGAAACATTCAATATTTTTCTTTTGAAATGACTTTTCATTTTGAAATTTTGTGCTATATTATAATATAGTACAAAATTAAAAAGTCAAAATTGAAATCAAATGTTTCGACTAACCTTAATGGAATTTTTTTTTCAGAATTTTCTTTCACAAAGAATTTCAAAATTTTCAGGTTTTGTTCTGATTTGGAAGGAAGTCAATTTTTAAATCTCAAAAGCCTTTGTGAAATTAAACTTCCATCCTCCACATAGCTCTAAAATAAAAATTAAAAAAAACTACTAAACACTATGTACACACCTCCTGTGTGAGTGTGCATGTATGTATAACGTACAAAAATCATTTTTTAAAAGTTTCTGGAATGTAAAGAAAAATAAGATCAGTTTACAATAAAATCTTGTTAGATTTTAATGAAGATTCTTCTTACTTTCTTCAGAGCAGTAAAAAGTTTCATGTAGTTTTGTACACTGGCCCACCTGTCCCAGCTGGCTGGCCCGCCTGCCCACTCTAGTCCCTGCTGGCTTCGGGGGAAAGGTGGCACGAAGGCAGGAAGAGAAGCAGCGTAGGAAGAGAAGGACACAGGAGTGGGGCTTCGGGGGCGGAATGTGGGCAGGGACACGGCCTGGCTGTTTGGGAAGGCTTAGCCTCCACTGGCCTATTATACTCGCTGCCAGTGAGAATTGTACTCAAATGTTATGTCCAATGCTCAATGTTTCATTAAAGATAGAGATACTTGAGCTTCTCAAAGCAATATTGAGAATACCAGTGTTCTGAAGTAGCATGTTCAGGTTGTATTTCAGATATCCCCTTACGATTTACTCTTCATAACCTGGTCTGATTAAATGTAGTGTTTCACACCACTTTAGGATACTTTCAGTGTCTGTCACAGAACCTGTGCAGAGCTTTAGATTTAACGTGTGCTGGCTGCTTAACGTTCCCTGTTCAACATGAGAAAAGCTAGTTTTTGAATGAAGGAAGGAAGGAAGGAAGAAACTCTAGCCGAGATCTTCAGCTGATGTAAAATGGAATCACTGTATTTGACTTCCCTGAAACTACACCGCACTAAAAGACTTAGATATTTTAAGGCAGACCAATGGGAACAAAGTTCAGAACAGCAAATGTGAGTGAGGTCTCAAGGCTGCATAACATGCATTTGCTTGACTCTCGTTTCTGTTGGAGGAGTTGAATACAAATTGGTCATTTTAATCCAACCTTGTAAAATTCCACTCACCTTCTTGCCAGGGACAAATTAAAAGATTCTTCAAAAGCAAAGCTTTGATATAAAACAAATTAAGGGCTTAATTCACCCTAACTCATGCTAACTCCTTATTGGCTTGAATGGAATTCCAAAGAGTGAGAGTCAGAGCAGGTATTGGACCTAGGTTTGTAGCCCTCAAAACTGTGAAGATCATCTTCAAAACACAAACCAAGTCTAACAGATGTTGCAACTGTTGGGCAATACGAGAGAGTTGAGGCTGCAACATTGGCTGGCTTGTAAGGGGAGCTCCATTCAGAATTCAGCAACAGAGCAGCTGCAATGACACCTGATGAATTCTCTGAGTGTCTGGCTCTTGGATACCTCCCACACTCAGGTCCATGGGTCTGAGTAGTGAAGATCAGTGTCACCCCTCTCCTAGGCCAGGTCTGTTCCATCTTCAACTCCCTGCTGGCCAAGGTTATATTTAGAACCCTACTGCCTCCTGCCATCCTGAAGCCTCCTCCCACAGACCATCCCAATAGTTCTCCCTCCAGGCCTATGGAGGAGTACCACAGCTCCTCAGGGAGGGACCAAAGATTCCAACAGGTTTGAATGCCATAAGCCAGGAAGCAGGTAGAACAGAGCTACAGGGACTGGAGAAGTGGAGCTGCAAGCGGAAAAACCAGTAGCAAGGCTGAAGCACCTTCCACGAAGGGAACACTTGAGGCCTGATGCTGAGATAGGCACTGAGGTGGCCACAGCTGCTGGAATGAGAACAGCAGTGGCTGGTGTAGCCTTGAAAACCTGCTTTTTCCTCACAGTGATAGATCTGATTGAGCATGGAAAAGAAATTATATATTTGGGGAGTGGGAAAGCAAAGGGGTAGGAGAAAATAAAGAGAATGGAGAAATTTGGTGCAGCGCTGAGAAAACTGAGGAGTTGGGGATGTGACCAGTTAATACTGAATGGGGTGGGGGCTAAGTAGCAAGTTAATGGCAGAGGTGGGGAAAGGGGGAGTATGCAGGCAAAGAGCATGCGCTAAGGTGTGTGGCTGGGAGGGAGTGTGAACCTGTGTGTGAATGTATCTGTGGAGAGGAGTTGTGTGTATTGGTGTCTATGGTAAGGGAGAGCTAATAAATTCCTTGACAATTCCACAAGACTATTTCAGCCATATTGTATGTGTATGTGGTGGAATTTTCCAGCAATAGAACAGTTCTGGATACAAATATCTCACTATTATTCTAACATTTCGCACCCAAGTGCATCACTGGCACTAGTTTGGTGGGAAAACAACAACAGCATGGACTCTCACTTTTCATTCCTCTACCACATCATTTACCTTCAGCACACCTACCCATCTTCTTGCCGCCCAAGCGGTGATTACTTCAGAGTGGAAATCACCTAACATCATTCCGACTGATAAATTGTTTATGAAGGACAAGAAATACCACGTAAGACTTTGAACTCAGTTACACTGGTGTAAGTCCAGAATACAACTATAGGTTCCTAGATACCATAATGATTAGCATACTTGAGAATAGATAGATTAAACAGACGGATTTCAGTGTAATTAGTCCAGATTTACAGGTATTAATGAGATCAGGATTTGGTGTATGGAGAAATTCACTATCTCATAATAAAAGAAAATTTAAATGCATGGAAATATCCTTAATTAAGTACATGGAAAATATGCTAGCCAGTGTCTTTCCATAGTAGTATGTCTGATGAATACAACCTGTAACACTGTTCTAGAATCACTTACTCTGTGAGCTGTCTTGGAAAAATGCATTGCTTTCGTATCTGTACCACCAGATGCAACGTGACAGAAGTCTGTATAAACTGAGGTCAGGTCACTGTTCGCCAGGATGCGACAGAATCTCCTTGCCACCTGGTGATGACAGAAAGTATTATTTGAAGATGCAGGTTATTTTTTCTCCTTACCTGCATTCATAAAAAGGACAGCTTCAGCCGAGCTGTATACCAAGTGACAATAACTGCTGTCAACAAGAACTGAATGTGAGCTCATTGCAAAGCAGTGACAAAGCAGTCACTCCTTCCATTTATCTGCACAATGACCTGGTGAGTGAAATTCTGGGTAGCAGACCATTGATGGCTGTGATACCCATGGATTCCACAGCTGTTGTGGGATTTGTCCTGGAATGTGAAGATGACAACAAAAAATATTTTGCTTTGCTTTTTATCCACACACCAGCACCTGAGACTGAAGTACAGAGGTAAGGAAGCAGGCAGAGAACCACAATACTGACTTCTGCCTTGGCAGAGGAATGAAACAGATGGACTAAAAATGTCCTTGTCGTTCCTCACTCCTGTGATTCTACATTCAGCCACAGCTGGCCTTTAATGTCCATGAAGCATGCAGTCATGTCCCGCTCCTTATTTTGAGGACCTCAAAATGTCAAGGCTCCTCTTATTTGTTTAAAATGAAAGCTATGTTTTCAGCCTTTTTCCCTGGTGGATACAGCCTTCAGAACATATGCTATGATGAAAGGTTTGTCATCATGATTTTTACCAAAGTCATATGTATTTCACTGTAGCCACACCCAGAGCTCATCCATGAGGAGACCTGAAGAATGGCTCCCTTGATTTGTGTATATGTTGTCAGGGGGAGTAATACGGGTGAGCAGACATTTAGACCATTTCAGACGGCTGGGTGTAGTGCACCAGAGTTTTTCCTTCTGGTGCTCCATCCACTGCAAGTTCCCTCCCTACTAGTTGCCTGCAGCTATGCTAGTCTCCACTAACCAGGTAGTGTGACCTCTGACCACAACAGGGCAGAGTAGTTCACTAGTGTGATAGGCAGCCTCATCTAGTGAACTAAGAAGAAGAGTGAGAGCAAGTGACTCCGATATTCGAATTCCAGCTCTGACACACACACTCCCTCTTTGGCCTTAGTTAAGAAAGTCAATGCACCCGTGGGTATCTAATTCACTTAGGCTGCTTTTAAAATTTCAGCTTTTACTGTCTCAGTTTCCCTATTGGTGAAATGGGCATAAACAGAACTCTTGTGAGATAGGCATTAATTATGGCAGTTAATTAGTTAAGCTTTGTAAAGCAGTCCGTGTGCTAAAATTCACTACAATGTGCACACATATCCGAATCATTCATCCTTCTGTCCTCAGAACGAATAATGACATTAGCTAATATAATCATAGTAATTAAACCATAAGATACAGTGTGAATAAATATGTAAATATAAATACTGAATACGAGTGGAATTTTGTTTTGCAATAGTACGCTCTAGATCTCCATCTACTCTGCAATACAATGGGTTTCCATTCGGCTGAAAGGCTTTGTGGATTCTGCAACATTCTAGATTTCAGAGTTAACCTACTGAAAAAATAATGGGGACAGCTCATGCCTCTCAGAGCTATTGTTTCAGGCTGCCTAAAGACTCAGACAGACATTTCTGCATAAATTTACACTCAGCTCACATTTGGGAAGTTTTCTTGCAAACTTAGTTTTTAAAAAAGCTTTGATTCTGGAGCCCCTGTATGTGGCAATGAGTGGATTCTGCGGCACAGTCTGCAGCTGCAGAATCACGGAATACCGGTGATCTCTGACTGTCAATAGATAGATGGCAGACATCTGTTCTCATCTTCCTGGATCTCTCTACATCCCTTGACACTGCAGACCATTACATACTGCTGTCTCACCTGAGAGAGATGGCAGGAGCCCAGGAGAACATGTTAAAATGGTTTAAAGTTCTCCCTAGAGGGATGTACCAAAGAGTACTAATGGGAAACTGCACCTCTGCTATTAGACCCCTCATTTGTGGTGTCCCACAAGATTCAGTTCTATTCAGTTTCTACATGCAGCCACGAGGTAAACTGGCAGACAAAACAGACTTAAGTGCCAGCAATCTGCAGAGGACACCCAGCTCTACTTATCCTTCACCACATATGACCATACCACTACCATTAAGATGGCGGAGTGCTTAAGTGAGATCAGTTCTTGGATGAAGAACAGCTGGCTGATACTGCAGCCAAGCAAGATAGATGTTATGTTGGTGGGGAGCAGAAGGCAGCTGGAAGAGTTTGGAGCCAAAAGCACAGTCTTCTTTGGTTGGAGACATACACCCACAATTGGTCAATTAAGTTCACAGTTCAGAAGTGCTCTTGGATTCTCCAATGACACTAAGCTCTCACATTGCATTATTTGAAGATTCAGCTTTCTATCATCACCAGGTGGCCAGGAGATTCTGTCACATCCTGGCGAACAGTGACCTGGCCTCAGTTTATACAGACTTTTGTCACGTCGCATCTGGTGGTACAGATACCAAAGCAATGCATTAGCCCTTAGGAAACTTTAACTTCATCGAGCATAGAATGCTATGGCATGTCTCCTCATCAACACAGGTTATTAGGAGGAGCACATCAGATCTGTCCTCCACTCTCTATACTGGCTTCCTATAAAATACCAAGTCAGGTTCAAGGTCACTCAATGGCTCAGGCACAGCATAAGGCCTACCACCTGCAGCTCTGGGACGAAGACCATGGTCAACAACTCTGCTCCTCAGGCACAACAGATCTGTCTGCCACAAAGATAAAGTTATCTGGAGGAGACAAAGCTTTCTCAGGGCTGGCCCAAGCCTGTGGAACAAACTACCACAGAAAGGAAAGACCATCACAAACTGCACCACCCTCCACTCCAAGTGCGAAGTGTGTTTCCTTGACGTTGCCATCTCTCATATCAACACAGCGGCATGCATATTTAAAAACCAAACAAAAACAAAAACTCTATCAAACAAAAAACAAACCTACAATGCACTTGTAACCTTTGGGTAGGCTAGAGTTCACCTCATTTCCCATGTCCAGAGCCTAAACAAAACAAAACAAAAAAACAATTCCCATAGAAAGTAGCTGGAGACCCAGAGTTCAGTCTCTAAGGATTTTCAGAAAGGATTGTACAGGGTCAGCCTCCCCACATTCAGGTCCCAAAAGGAACTAAAGAAATGAACTTAATTAAATACTTTATAAAATCTTATTTTAAAGAAACAAATAATAATCTAATTTTTACAGCATGACATGGCTGTTTTATAATCCACAGACATTACCTTCACAGTTATACATAAACATAAATAAACAAATTAAAATCTAAACAGTTCAATCCCCAGAGAAACACAGTGAGAAGAAACTGAGAGTTCCCAAAAGCTTAGGTTTAGTTCACCTAAGTCTCAGTTAGAGTCTCTGATCACCAAATCTATACAGTTTGCTGAGTCTAAAACAACATCTTCCCTCCACGTGCTTGTAGGAATGTTCAGTTGGAATCCATGCAGACACTTCCTCTGCTGAAATCACTGCTAGCCAGTCAGCTAACTGATTAACCAACCTCTCAGTTAAGTGTATAGATTTAAAGAAAACCCTGTTACAAGAAAATACAAAACTGAGAATAGGAAAATACAAATGACTCTTTCCCCATTACCACATTTAAAGAAAAACTGGTGAATCAGACTAGTGGAGACAATTTAACTAGAACAGGTTGGCTAAAATCAAAACAACACTGAATGCATACTATTAAAATAGCAGTTATTTTTCCCTCCCCATTTCCCCTTGCTATAATTAGCATTGCCCATGCTTCCCTATTAACCATATCACTAACCTGCTGCAAAATGCTTCAGAGTTAGGGACAACAGCCTGCTTTCTGCTCCTGGGCTCAGCTTCTCCCAGCCCACACAGGGAACATGGACCTCTGCAAAGCTCTCATGGAGCATACCCAAAACCACCACACCCAATTTCAGAAACTTCTGGATGTGGAGTGCTTAGTCTGCCTAGCAACAATGACCCACATACAACTCACTCCTACCTCCCCCCAATGAGTCTCTTAAAGAGATATCTCCCTATTAGGCACATGGGTTACACACTCAGGATTCTCCCCTTGGAGAGAGGCTGAGAGAAATAACACATGGCCCTGTTAGTCACACACCACTTAGTGCATTATTGGAAGGTGCTCAGATGCAATAGTAATGAGGCTGGGATCAGAATTCAGAGAGAATAGGAAAGTCCAGAATATACCGAACAAGAACAGGTAGGGCTTTGGGGGACAAAACTGGAAAAATATTTGGAAGCTTAAAATTAGAACAATTATTCAAAACGTTCTGTTCCTCAAGTAGTGAGACGAACAAAAGAGGGTCACTGAAATAATCAACCCTGCATCCTTAAGTGCTTGCCTTCCGATATTACTCCTTCCTTAGACGGAAAATAACACATATACTCCAGTATATCTCGCCTATACTGGGCGTCCCTTCTGTTCTGCCACCTGAGCTGAAGGGGATGCTTTCTGTGTCTAATCACTTGAGAGATATCTATTCCCAGTCTTGAAATGCTTCAGCTAAGAGTTGCTTCTAAATGTGATATATGCTGGACATATTTAATAACTTTTATGGCAGCATTTCAATGAAACCCCCCACCCCAGCCCAATTTATATAATTTACAACATAACTTTGACTGCATAATAAATTAAATTAAATTTGCCGTCCCGTCCCTCCCCCCAGGTTGCATATTATTTGCCATAGTGAAATGCTGAAACTGAAAATATATGAAAATGATTTCAATCTGAACATCAGTCATTTTCTTGAACAAACTGAAAACACTGAGTATCTCAAAACAGAGTATCTCAAGATATTTGAAACAAGTAAGGTATATTTAAAATTTTGCAATAGGCAGAAATTCTCATTAATTTTTTTAAAAAATGTAAAACCTCACATGGTTCTATTCTTTCTGCTGATAAAAATTTGGAGCTAACTGTTTAAGGTTTTTGGTATCCAAATCTACCATAAGTTCTCAACTGTTTAGGTTTTGTATTACCAACTAACTCAGTCCTTGGCCAAAATTTCACATAAGAACAAAAGAACAGTGATACTAGGTCAGACCAATG